CCCCAACTCTCTCAGCCTGTCTTCATAACATCTTCTGTGACCAAGCCACTCTTTGTTCAGCATGCTGACCTTAGTGAGCTCCTGGTCCCACGTGCGAGTTGTTCTTGCCCCATTCTGACACATCTAGCTTTTGTCACGTATTGTATCAGGAGCATTGCTCTTAACTCTGGAATCGGGATGCTATTGCAGGGAGTGGCTTCCTGAAAACAAGCTCTGTCAAAGTATAGTGCTGCTTGCCTAAATTATTCTTTCAGAGCTGCTCCAACTGCACCGTATTGTTTGCATTTCAATGATTTGTCCTTATGCTGGTATGTGCAAAACACCTCAGTGTTCATTTCTGAAGTGCACGTACAGGACCATGACATCATGCATGTGTGCACTGGGACTTGACCATGGTTTTGCTCCGTAGTCTAGGACAGTACTGGTATGGCATCCAAGCTGAATTATTCTGCCAAAACCTATCCCTGAACACACATATTAAGGGATTAATTCACTTGGAGACCATTTTGTCATTTTTTATATATGTGTCATTGTTTCATTTTTATAAGTGACACAATTTTATAATTTTTATAAATGGCACAGTCCTATGCTTTGTTTTATTTTATTCCTGCTATTTATAGATGCAGTCTATCCACAGAGACCAAATACTCCCTTGTGACTCAAGCTCCTTCCCTTGGCTCGATGAAGAAACAGAGATTAGTACAATAGTCTAAGAAAAAAACCAAACGTATAGACGTATGTTTGTGTGAAACTTTTTGAACAGTATGTGGGTAAAAATAGTATTTACGAAACCTGAATAGACTAAAAAACTAATCCCCTTCAAAGCCTAAGTAAATTAACTATGTAAATACTGTAGGCTAAAATGTTCTGCAATCCAAAAGGAAAAGGAGCTGTCAACATAATCGGAGTCCCACTGCTGAAGGCCCAGTACGTACATACGGACAACAACAACGGACAACAATCCTCAAAATAGTTTCTAGTCCTCCAGACTTGAAACAATTGAAACACTCTATTTTTTTAAGCTACAGGTACATAAAATCTGACAAATAAAAACTCTTTACCTTGGTTGTTTAGACAGCAGGATTAAGATCACAGTTACGGCCAGCCCACATGCTCCGAAGATAACAACTAACAACCACGGAAACTCAATTTCTGAAACAACAAAACAAAAACAAAAACATGTTAGCAGGATTCTGCATCTCTGTTGCATCTTTAATTTCAACCTTCTCTGCCACTGCCTGGGGATTCCAAAGTGGTAAAAACTGATAGAACAATTTTTGGTTACTAAAATGTGAAAGTTCTGTGTTAAGCCAAAATAAAAATACTCCTTTGGTCTCAATAGTTCCCATACCGCATTTGTGAGTCCGCTGAAACTTCTTGCAAAAACACATGAAGTTTTTAAATATAAACAAGATCTTAGTACAGACAATATATGAAGCAAAACCAGCCATGAGGAACTTTCTGCCTGCTTGGAACATGCTACCAGTAGTCCTGACAGCACATAATGCTGCAGACCATGTTACTGCTGGTTCACCCAAGCTGAGAGAACATTATTAACAGCATTCTAAATCATGGAATCACAGAATCATAGAATGGTCTGGGTTGGAAGGGACCTCAAAGATCATCTAGTTCCAACCCCCCTGCCATGGGCAGGGAAACCCTCCACTACCCCAGGTTGCTCAAAGCCTCATCCAACCTGGCCTTGAACACTTCCAGGAATGGGGCAGCCATAACTTCTCTGGGCAACCTGTTCCAGTGCCTCACCACCCTCACAGTGAAAAATTTCTTTCTTATATCTAATCAAAATCTACCCTCTAATCATAGGCAACCTATTCTTCTCTCACAGAAACTAAAATATTGTGGCGTCAAAAAGCATACTACTCCTCTTTCTAAAGGCTGAACATTAATTATGTTTTGCACTATCAACTGAAAAAAATACATTCTCCCTTTTATTTACTTTGCAGGTGACTACAAAGAATTCAGGTCATTAAGAACTGCAATTTGGTAGGAATGAAGAACAATGCTGATAAATGAAATGTTTTATCTTTTAAATACTAGCAATTCCATTATACTTAAGCTGACACTGTAGAATACAAAATATAGAGAAATTTATTCCAGCTGTAGTCTTAGATTCTTCTCATTTGTTCCCAATTTTAAGTTTTCCATACAAACTTCACTCATTTTTTGGGCCACGGAATACTGGACACAAAGCTTTAGAATTCGATATATGAACACAAATATATATCCTTTCAGGTAAAAAAAAAAAAGAAAACGCACATACCAGTTTTAGACCTGTGCTCCCAGCTTAGATTTTGACAGGACGTGTTTTCGCGCCTAAGCAAAGTCCTATGTGATATGTTTGCGTTAGACAGGTCTCTATTTAAATGATGAACTAGCAACTTCCTCTCACGTCAGTGAGACCTGTGAATGTCCAGGTGCTTCAAAAAGTTACAATATTGCATTCGAATTTAACTACTTTAATTTTTAATACACAGAAAGTTTAAATTTTAATTCTGTGTTACTGAAGGTGATACGCAAACCAAGCAAGAATAAATTGTCAATCAAATCTGATCACTGCTGCTGTGTGAGACACAGGGATGTGGATAAATTTGCAGAACCTGGGTTGTTATGACTGAAGAAAACTGTGCTTGTAGGGTGACCTTAGATTTTCATAGTATTTTAATCTTGTTCACATGAAAATCTTGACAACTTAATGCAGCTGGGCTTAATAAAATCATGCCGCATGTCCATAACATTAGCTGTTCATATAAATCAGGAATGAAAACAAAGAGTTAGAAAGGGGAATCTAGAAAGATTTTGAAAGATAAGAGTTATGAGTTCTTTTATTTAACACCTTCACTAACAGCCTGGAAAATTAAGTGAAGCAGCTTGTTAAAAAAATTTCCTGAAGAGCTCATATTTTGAAGAGTTAATTTAGTAGCTCAGACCTGAGAATGCTTTAGGAAAAGGCATTATCTCACTCTTTTAATAGAAAAAATGTGGTGCTCGACGGCTATTTCTCCTTCTGTCTTTAACAGCACTTTAAAAACAAATAAAAGACAGAAACAAGAATCAGAAAAACACTCACTGTCCTTGATAGTAATGGGCAGATCAGAAAGGCACCTAGCCAGCAGTATAACACTTTAATAGAAGTGACAATTCTGGTCTTCACTACCGGAGAGCTCGTTTTAGATGATGAAGTATGAGATTTAATTGTATTTTAGGGTTTATAAGATGTGCAACAGCAGTTACTACTTCTGATTTTTAAAACTAACTATTTTTTCTCTCTGATGAGCTGTGAAACAGTCTCGCCAAGTTTACTTCTGGACTTTCATACGCAACTTGTACATTCTCAATCTCACCAATGATTTTCATGTAGTAGGCTGAATTATCAATCTATTCAAGCATACAACATCAACGGTAAGGAAAAAAAAACCACAACAGCAAAAAGACAGCATTGTTATAGAAATACTTTGCTGCACTTAGCTTATTTACCTTCAGCGCAATGAACAAATTCAACGCCTGTTTGAGAAAAAGATACGTAAAGAATTTCACTGAACTCCCCAAATTTTTCAGAGGTACGTTGTCTTGATCGGACTCGTATCTCGTAATCTCTTCCCATCTTCAGAGAGTACAGTGGAACCATTGTTGAGAGTCTGGGTTCTAACTGTAAAGATAGAAGAACTGTGATTCATTTGTTTGAGTTGTACTGGCAATTTTACACTGCTTCTTGATTTCAGAAATAAACATTTGAAGGTGTTTTTGCTACTTGGAACTGTAGATACCATGAGAAGAGTTCAGAGAAAATTCACACCATTTACTTCCGACTTACTAGCCATCAGGCTTTGCTGTGATTTACGAGACCAAAAGTGGAGAATCCAAGTTCTCTGTAAATACAGTCAGTGAAGAAAAGCGACTGCTCCCAGTTACAGGGCTAAGCAGGTGTTGAGAACATGTCCCCCTGATCTTCATCAAGTTGTAAATACTTTTTACTGTTACAACACAACATTCCTGACTTCACAATGCCAAAAACCTTGTTAAAATAACACAGAAGTCTTAAAACTAGTGCAATTTCCACTACAGAATTAATTTTAAGAAGAAAAATGATTTAAAGGCCTTCTAACCAGATGCACTACATCTTACAGATTTATTTATTTGGGGAAGATTGCATAGCTCCCAAAATCTTCAACTACATATAAAATGTTATGATGGAGACTCTATGAGAACTGGCATCAGCTTGTCTCGGTCTTGAGACTTCTATATTAGTATTAATTGCAACACACTTGGATACTGCGCATATCAAACTATGCAGGAAGTCACACGGGAGGTCTTAATATGTGAAGTCCCTCTCTTCTACTCCTCCTCTAAGAACATGTATTTTAGCTCCAATAGCCCAATACAAATACATAAAAACAAGGAAAATGTGCTCAAAATAGAAATGTACATGACATATGTTATATTCCACATTTCATTCAGAATCAACGGTGATACTGGCAAAACTCATCATGGGCTAAGAATTAAACCACCTGGAAAACAGCAGCCATTGGGGATGTGAGATAATACAATCCTATAATCACTGTAGCAGCATAATCTAAACCTGAGACACATTCTGTGGGTAGCTATGATCCATGTTCCCTGATCCCTGGCGGCTGCCGACTCAAATGTTCTGAGAATCAACTGGTCAGATTTTGGAGGAGGCAGTGATCTCAGACAGACTGCTTCTCTCCGCTAGTGGTTAAGCACAAGATCATGGAGAACCATTGCTCTACATTGCAGAGGTTTTTAACATGTGAGAGAACAATCCAGTTGGAATGTGTTGGGAAGAGAATCCCTCAAACTAGTAAGCCCTGTCTCAGCCACAGTACTTTATGGACACAATGATGGTGTTCAGCTCTGGAGTTAGGACTTCATGCTTTCCTGCCCTAAGTACACTTCCCTGCAGTGTGAAATGGATCTTTTCCAGCAGAAATTCAACAAGACAATGAAAGCCAGTGAAGTCATCTCTGGTCCAGCCCTCTTCACTGATGACTGAGCTGTGATCACCAATTTCATCCCATATTAGGCGGATCTAGGCCTGGGTCGTTTGGAGTTTTTTAATAAGTCAAAAGATCAAGACAATCTAAAATATGATAAATAACTAAAGGAAAACTAGGCTTTCAAGATTCCCTATCACACATAAATTTTTCGGCACACATAGTCAGACACTTCCAATAAGAAGTGATCATTCTTCGCTATTGCTGAGGACATGTGTGTTTTCACACCTTGTTCGGAAAACAGCAGCCTCACAGGGTCTGTATAGCTATTGCCAGCCATGACTACAGAGGGTAGAAGCAGGGACAGGCAGCCTTGGAGGAATACAGAGGAACTGTCCAAGCTGCCAGGGATCAGGTTAGGAAGGCTAAAGCCCTGATACAACTAGATCTGGCCAGGGACATTAAGGGCAACAAGAAAAGCTTCTACAGGTATGTCAGGGATAAAAGGAGAACTAGGGAAAACATGGGTCCTCTCCGAAAGGAAACGGGAGACCTGGTCACCAGGGATATAGAGAAGGCTGAGGTACTCAATGACTTCTTTGCCTCAGTCTTCACTGGCAAGAGCTCCAGCTGCACAGCCCAAGTCACAGAAAGCAAAGGCAGGGACTGGGAGAATGAAGAATCGCCCACTGTAGGAGAAGATCAGGTTAGAGACCATCTAAAGAACCTGAAGGTGGACAAGTCCATGGGACCTGATGAGATGCATCCACAGGTCCTGAGGGAAGTGGCAGATGAAGTTGCTAAACCGTTATCCATCACATTTGAGAAGTTGTAGCAGTCCGGTGAAGTTCTCATCGACTGGAAAAAGGGGAAAAATAGCCCCAGTTTTTATAAAGGGGAAAAAAGAAGACCCGGGGAACTACAGGCCAGCCAGTCTCACCTCTGTGCCCAGCAAGATCATGAAGCAGATGCTCCTGGCAACTATGCTAAGGCACATGGAAAATAAGGAGGTGATTGGTGACAGCCAACATGGCTTCACTAAGGGCAAATCCTGCCTGACTAATTTGGTGGCCTTCTATGATGGAGTTACAGCATTGGTGGATAAGAGAAGAGCAAGTGACTTCATCTACCTGGACTTGTGCAAAGCATTTGAGACTCTCCCGCACAATATCCTTGTCTCTAAATTGGAGTGATGGATGGACCACTCGGTGGATAAGAAATTGGCTGGATGGTCACACTCAGAGAGTTGTGGTCAACGGCTCGATGTCCAAGTGGAGACCGGTGATGAGTGGCGTTCTTCAGGGGTGGTTTTGGGGCCAGTGCTATTTAACATCTTTGTTGGTGACATGGACAGTGGGATTGAGTGCACCCTCAGCAAGTTTGCTGATGACACCAAGTTGTGTGGTGGTGTGGACACGCTGGAGAGAAGGGATGCCATCCAGAGGGACCTTGACAGGCTGGAGAGGTGGGCCTGTGAGAACCTCATGAAGTTCAACAAGGCCAAGTGCAAGGTCCTGCACGTGGGTCGTGGCAATCCCATGCACAAGTACAGGCTGGGCGGAGAATGTATGGAGAGCAGCCCTGAGGAAAAGGACTTGGGAGTGCTGGTGGATGAGAAACTCAACATGAGCTGGCAATGTGCGCTTGCAGCCCAGAAAGACAACTGTATCCTGGGCTGCATCCAAAGAAGCGTGGCCAGCAGGTCGAGAGAGGGGATTCTGCCCCTCTACTCAACTCTCGTGAGACCCCACCTGGAATACTGCATTCAGCTCTGGGGTCCGCAACACAAGAAGGACATGGAGCTGTTGGAGTGGGTCCAGAGGAGGGCCATGAAGATGATCCGAGGGCTGGAGCACCTCTGCTATGAAGACAGGCTGAGAGAGCTGGGGCTGTTCAGCCTGGAGAAGAGAAGGCTCCGGGGTGATCTTATCGCAGCTTTCCAGTACTTAAAGGGGGCCTACAGGAAAGCTGGAGAGGGACTTTTTACAAGGGCGTGTAGTGATAGGACAAGGGGCAATGGATTCAAACTGAAAGAGGGGAGATTTCGATTAGATCTAAGGAAGAAATTTTTCACAAAACTGAGGGTGGTGATGCACTGGAACAGGTTGCCCAGAGAAGT